TCCGGTGAGCCTGGGCCCTCGGGGCCCAAGATCTATCCTGAGCCTCTTGTGCACAGGCCCCACACTTAAGCTGCACTCAATTTCGGGTCCCTGAGACTGTTCAAAAACTTCTCCAGGAAAGCAGATTGGAAATCTGTTACAAACTTCTTTCTGTTTTTCTGCAGCCCAGCTCTGTAAGGAAGGGCCTAGATGGAGTAAATGAGGGAAAGTAGAAGGAGGAGAATGTTGTCACAGTTTGGGTTGGGGATGCTTGACTGAAGCCTCCCCATGGTATTCATGTTTTAAGTACTTGCAGGGTGTATTGTGTGGGGAAGAGATTAATGTGGGAGTTCCCATTGAAGAAGTGCTCAGTTCCCTATGAAGGCTTCAGGATACTACTAAATGGGGAGGGGGATCAGGCAGCTTCCATTTATAGGGGAAATCTGAGATAGAGAAATTAACAAACAAATGCAGAAATAAACAAATATACAGAGATTGGAAAGATACAACTTCTTTCTTTTTGAGGAATTGAACTGCTTATATACAAGGGAGGGATGAAAAGGTTTGCATATCAAATATGCAAGTATGCAAATATGCAAAAGTAGACACTGATCAGATGCAGGAGAGGGTCTATAGGATAATGTGCTTTAAGAATTGGGAGCAAGGAGTTCATCATGGGTACAAGAAAGGCTTCAGAAAGGGGTGGACTCTGAGCAGAGCCTTTGAGGATGGTGAGATTTGGGCAGGTAGCGATCTGGGAGGAGGAAACATTCTGGGTAAAGAAAAGAGCAACAGGGGATCAGCTTGGATGGAGAAGATGCCTAAGTGGAGTAGGGAATGAACTGGGAACAATTTAGACCTGGAAACTACATCCTAGGAAGAACAACTTAATAGGGATGTCGAGCTTGGAGAAGAGAAGGTATGGGAGATGCAGTGTGGTTGCTACCAACTGTTTGAAAGCTGGCATGGAGATCTGCTTTGTGGGTCTCTATCTGTGAGGAATGAATGCTCTTGGCTGGAAGCAATAGCGACTTTATGAGAGGCCTGTGGCAGCAGGCTCAGGATTAGTCTGGCTGCTTACATATGCTGTCGAGGACACAGGCTTTCCCCTTTCCAGTCTGCCATGCTTGGTATGTTGTCTTTTCGTCCTCATGCTTATGGTCGATTGCTATGGTCAGTGCTTATGGTCAAGGTGATTGCTACAGCTCCAGGTATCTTGTCCATAGTTAAGACAAGAAGGAGGAAAGGAGAAGAGTCAGCAGTCTTCCTCTTCTATCTGTTGCTTTTACGAATAATCAGATCTTTGCTAGAACTTGCTCTTCCCCTTGCATACTTTGTCTATGTCTGAATGATCATGGTTAGGTTATGTGAGCATCCTTGTCTGCAAGGGAGGCCAGAAGATGAGTATCTGGTGTTTGGACTCTGTAATGGGAGGTGGCAAGGGGAAGGGAATTAGGAATGGTTACTGAGTATCTGTGCTTTTTTTCCCCCCGGAACCGGGGATTGAACTCAGGACCTTGCACTTGCCAGGCAGGCGTGGCACCACTGAGCTAAACCCCTGACCCTTGGAATGGTTACTGAGTAGAAAACCTACAGAGACCCTGCCTTGGTTCACTCTTGGAACCCACAAGAAGCCAGATATGGGCCATGTGATAGCTGCTCATGGAAGCAGCAACTCCCAGGTCTCAGCAGAGACCTACTGAAGCAGAGGCCCTTGTGGCAAATGATATTGCCAAATGGATTTCTGCAGGCAGCAAAGAGGCCTGAGAGCCAAATCTGGGTGACCTAGGATCATGGTTCTAATAGAAGGCTATGCTTGTTTTGGCTAAATCGCCTCAGGATTTAGTCTGAGCAAGCATCTGTATGCAACCTCCTAAGTTTGGACTTTTTTTTTTTTTCTGGCTGGGTATACTGTTTGGCTGTATGAGGAGCACTTTATGTCTCTGTTTTGGTTTGTTATGTAAGGATACAGGGCCCCTTTATCTCTTCACTCCCTTCCATGCAGCATTTGTATCTTTCATATCCTTGGGATACTCACGTTTAACCCAGAAAAATGCCTTATAGTCTCTTCAACCCCCTGCACCTGAACCTGCACTTCTGCTGATGAGGTCGACCTTCTGTGATGCCATGGAAGGACTCCAAGGGAAAATCTGAAGGCACTTACGAAGTCTCATTTATTGGGGGCTTCTTTTTAGGTTAATTTCCTATAAATGCTTTTTGTTGTAGCAACTTGGAAGAGAACTGCTGCGTGCGCCCCCTCTACATTGACTTCAGACAGGATCTGGGCTGGAAGTGGGTCCACGAACCTAAGGGGTACTATGCCAACTTCTGCTCAGGCCCTTGCCCGTACCTCCGAAGTGCAGACACGACCCACAGCACGGTATGGAGTGGGGCACAGGCCATCTGGGTACCAGGGTTGGGCTGACCAGATCACTTGTTAAACAGAATGAATGAAGGATTGAATGTTCAGTGAGTGGTAATCTTGGCTCAGTAAAAATCCCTGTAATAATAAGATGCTGACCTTGGCACCCTGGTTAGATCCAGGTCACATCCTGTCCTTCAAAGTTCCTAGCACAGAGAGTAGGGGTAGAACTCATGCTCAGCATGTATGAGATCCTAGGTGTGATCCTCAGCACTGAGAAAAATTTCCTATCATAGTTTCAAGCAGACTTTTTTTTTTTCTGGTACCAGGGATCGAACTCAGGTCCCTGCCCTTGGCAGGCAGGCATGGCATCACTGAGCTACATCCCTGGCCTTCAAGCAGACTTTTTATTTGGTTTGTTTAAAGCTTTTTTACCATGGAAGTTCATTACCTGTCACATGGCACGCTATGTTAGAGATGTGTGCACCTAGTAGGCAAGGACTGTTGGGGTAGAAGGATTTCTACCACTAGTTAAGGAAGTCTGAGAACCACAGCGTCTTGAATGTACAAAAGTTGTTCTGAGAGACAACGTACAGCACATAGGAGAAGCTAATATGTAACTCTGGGAAGACAGTGTATCTTTCCCCAGAGGAGTGGAAAGTAGGGCAGTGGTGTGCAAAACATTTATTACTGCCTCCTCTCTGGGACTCTGCACTTACTAAATGGCCCAAGGCAATGAGTAGTGAGCATATTTTTTCACCAAAGCGGTCAGTTACAACAAGGAAGCCCAATACAAGAGTGTTTTCTTAGCAGCCAAGGGTTTCCTCATCAAATGAAACTCCCTCAGTTGGTTTAGATGTTTAAACCAATGGCCCTCAGACAAGCACACATGTTGTGGATCCTGCCGTAGTGCATGCACACAGTTGGCCACCATTCCGCTGCCCATTCAGTCTCTGACACCCTCCAGACTTGCAGTGCTCCTGGGCTGTGGGCCTGAGCTTGGCTCTTCCACCTCTAATCCTGTGCCCCCTGCCCCAGGTGCTGGGACTATACAACACCCTGAATCCGGAAGCGTCTGCCTCCCCCTGCTGTGTGCCCCAGGACTTGGAGCCCCTGACCATCCTGTACTATGTGGGGAGGACCCCGAAGGTGGAGCAGCTCTCCAACATGGTGGTGAAGTCATGTAAGTGTAGCTGAGGCCCGCCCGAGACAGAGGAGGAAGAACCGCCACCATCCGACTGCCAGCTCCTTGGGAAGCCAGTGCGACAGACCTCATCTAGAGGCCTGGGGCCCACAACCCTTGGCTCCCGGCATGGCTGAGATGGAGGCTTCCTTCTGGAACATTTCCCTTTCTTGCTGGCTCTGAGAATCACTGTGGTAAAGAAAGTGTGGGTTGGTAGGGGAAGGTGAACTCTTCAGAACACAGATTTTCTGTGGTGCAGACAGAGGTGGTGGGGATAGAGGAAGAGGGATGGCTAGTGGACATGTCATGTGGCAATGGGACTTGGGGTACCCTGGGGAGGAGGAAGGGCAGAGGATGGCTGTGTCAGGGCCAGGCTGGAAGACACTTCAGATCTGACGTCAGCTTTGTGCATTGCTGTGCCACATCTGCCCTAGGGAATGGGATGATATCATACGAGGCAAGCATTTTTCTTCAGATAAGTTACCAAGACAAAGTCCCAGAATTGTATTTTGCACTACCTGGGATTAAGGACAAATCTGTTATTTTTGCAACCTGTCCCTTCTACATCAATCAGCATCATGGGTCATTACAGGAAATGTAATGTAGTTCCTGGGCTAGCAACTATATTGGGCCTCATGGAGAGTAGAAATCAGAAGGCAAGGGTGGGAATTAACCCTCTCCTGTTTGCCCCTGGGTCCCTCCTGTTGCCTTCTTCCCTGATCACATTTCACCTTGGACATCCGGCTAGACACCTTCCAAGTCAAGGTGTGCACATCTGGATTTTGGTCCCTGCAGCCTCGGGGCATCAGAGGTTCCTTCCCACCTCCCCCCCAAGAACCTGTGTTCATTTGGTGTTCCTGGAAGCAGGTGGTACACGTGAGGTACTGGGCTGGGGGGGACTGCACGTGTGCTCCATGATGACTTGGCCCCAGGCATGTAGACTGAGGTATAAGACAAGTACGAATATTACTCTCAAAATCTTTGTATAAATAAATATTTTTGGGGAATCATGGATGATTTCATCTTCTGGAAGATTGTTTCTAGAACAGTAAAAGCCTTATTCTAAGGTGTATGTCTGACTGTACACATATCCTTAATTACCCTTAATTCCATATCAGTACATACTGAGAGGCAACTGGACTCTGACAGAGAATCCCCCAAACATCAAACACATGCTTAGTGTGATGTGCAGGCCAACGGGCAGTGTGCAGCCTTCTGCCCCAAGGAGACTGCACTGTTGTTTGTGTGCCTTTCCTTTCCACAGAGTGTTTTTCTCAGACTCACAGAAGCAGCGGCTGATTTGCAGAGAGCATGCGAATTTGACCTCCAGATCACGGTGGCATGTGAACCCTTGGAAATGTGGTTTGCATACCAGATCTAAATGACCAACATCATCAGTTTTGGAAATCTCATCTCAGCCTCCAGTCAGTTGAGCATTAGAGAATCTATGGCAAATGACCTAAGAATGAGGCTAATTCTGTTACTAGGTTAATACTAAACTTGCCAAGCAGGAACCCTTTCAAGACTCCAGGCCTCTTGTTAGTGGTCTGGGAAAAGCACAATCCCATATGGTCTACTGAAGTCACAGATCCCAGAATGATGCAGCATTCTGTATGCATATCCACCTGAAGCAGGCCATCTGCAGTGAGGGAGCAGGGCGTGAGGAACCATCAAGCAGCTCCCAAAAGCCACCTGGCTCAGTGACTCACATTAGCACTGGTAAAAGGTCTGTCTGAAGCTACAGTTTGCAGTTTGGAGGATGTGCAGGAGATGCTCATGCCTGTGTGTGATCAAGTATATGAGCATCTTGCTCCTTCTGGAGTTCTTCAAGATTGAACCTGAGTTTGGTCACCAAGACATTTTCGCCTGCTCTCTGCTCTGTCCATGTTCCAGCCAATTCTAAAGGCTTCTCTTTGTTTTCATCCCATGGGTGCCCATTTATTTCCGCTGTCCTTCTGGAGACCATGTCCCTGCCCTAAAACCCCGTGGGGCTACACTCTGTCTTACCCAGGAACCACTGGGGGGGGGGTCACAGTGAGCCATGGCTGTTGATATCCCAAGTGTCACAGTCTATTCACTACAGCTCCATAGCTGTCTTTTGGACCAGGGCAGGGTCCGGCTTTCCTAAGAACTTCATTTTGAGAAGCAATATATTACATCTGACATTACTGGTCCTTACTTGAGGCTTCAATAAGGAAGAGGAAAATAATCTTCCTGGTTCTAGACTAAATCTTCCTTTTTTCTTTTATTTTTGGGGTTTTATTTTTTGGTACCGGGGATTGAACTTGGGTCCTTGCACTTGCACAGCAGGCAGCGAAACCACTGAGTTAAATCCCTGGCCCTAAATCTTCCTTTTTATTGAACCTCATAAGACATCACTAAAAGATCACTCTGAGGTACCCCAGAGAAAACAGAACACATGGTAGGTAGTTCCAAATGTTTTTAAGTGAGCATGCTACTCCTGCATTAAAAGCAGTAGATAAAAATCTGGGCAGCAGTTTAGAGTCCAGCCTCCCTGGTCCGTATATATCACTATGGCCCCACAGACACTTGAATCATCATCTCTCTGTCTTCAAAAAATACACACACTGGTTTTGTGGAAAGGTAGAGGGACACTGGAGGGAGAGATCTGGTACCTGGTACCTGGCTGGGACACAGTGAATGAAATAAGAAATCAGCCTGAGAATTTGGTTCTGATTGTTTACCCTGGGCAGTTCCAAGCACTGCAGTTGCTCTCTGAGTTGTTACTAGGTTCATCTCATCCCTTTTCACAAGAGTCATATGTTGAGTTCTTCCAGGCCCCTTATTTCCCAGTACAACATGTCAGCAGGGGACTTGGAGGACTTCTAAACTGTTTCCTAACCAACCCATAACCAAGTGGGCAAACAGTTAAGATGGTCCTCAGACGATTACCTAGAAGTCCCAGGAACACATGGACTCTATTCTACCTTCTTGCCTACAACCCAGACAATCTCATCTGTTAGAAGCAAACGGTGCTCCAACATGCCTGATCCTTTGTTTTCAGTCACTGAGAAGGCAATAGAGGCCCCTTCTCTGTCTTTGTTGGGTATCATTTTTCTCTTTGGATTTTAATGTTGAGTCTATAGGGCCTTACAGCAGCAGCCCCAGATTCTGGATTCTCCCTCACCGACTTCCCAGAGTAGCTCAGTCAATCCTTTAGTGGGCTCTGGGGCCCAGCTTTCAACTTTTTCTCCTGCAGAAGCCAGAGCTTGGACCTAGGAGAGGTGAGGAAGCAGGAGCAGAGTCAGGTGGGGACAATCAGGGCTGTGCTGTGGGGTCTGGAGGACCTGTTGAGGGAGGTGACCTGCACCTGGACAGACGCCCACAGAGCTCTAGAGGATGGCACTGGAGCCTCCTTGCTGCAGGAGGACTGGAGACTTCCCAGGTGCGGGAGCCGCCCCGGGGAACAGCCTGGCTGCACTGCCTGCTGCAACATAACTTCTTGGTAACTCAAGTTTCTAAAATGAAGTATGAAAAGTTGTTCAGGGATGAAATCAAATGAAAAGTTGGTTCCATTTCAGCCTTGCTTGTTTGTGAATACTAATTGCTGGGAAATAAGTAAAAAATGGAAAAAAAAATAGAATGACTTTATTCATCTTAGAAATCAGTAATTACCCTGGCCCCTGTCAGCAGCGCACACCTGGCCTCCTGCTCTGGGAACTTGTGACCCGAGCCCCTGCCCCCGGCCCCTTGAAAGGGAAGGACAACTTTGGTGGACGGTGATGGTGGGGTTTTTAAGCTTGTACAAAGAAAACTTAATACTGCAGTCTGGAAAAGAAGAGGAAGCACAATGCATATAGCCAAAGAGCCTCTTTTATATCATCTCTGTGTGGCAGCAGAAAGGGACAGAGAGACCCACGAAGGTTGGGGCGGCGCGGGGGGGGGGGGGGCGGCGGCGGAGTAAAGATACGCACTTGGCCAGGGGAGAGACAGAGGCACGAGCTGGATGTCCCTGCTGCCAAGTTCCTTCCAAAGCCAGAGGCTCTGTGTTCCTGTTGTCTCAGTAAAAGTCTGGCTTGGCTGATGGCAACCGTCCACTGCCACTTCTGCTTGAAGGCTTTGGGGAGTCTGAGGCAGGAAAAAAAAAATACTATGGCTTCCCTGCAGGCTGGCGAGTGCTCCGCCCTCAGTCACACACCCGGCAGGCAGCAGGGAGCGGGCTCTCCTTCCGCAGTGGCTCATCTGTCAGTGTGCCTGGGCTCTGGAAAAGAGAAAGGAACCCACTAAGTGACTGAGAGGAGAATGTGGAGTTTCACTGCTTCACAGCGATTCTGGTTTATTTATTGCCACTGGAGAATGAACACGTGGTGGTCCCAATAAATTAACTTCACCTTGAAGTACAAAACTTTTAATTTTCACCACTTTGGCTGGAAATCATCTTAAAACATTTTTGTTCCGTGGCTCTGCTTTTTGGGGGTAGTTTTCTTTTTCATGGATAAAAACAATTTTTTAAATGTCTTTCTTGGTTTTAGAAATAGAGTCTCACTATGTTGCCCAAGCTGATCTTGAATGCATGGGCTAAAACGATGCTCCTGCCTCAGCCTTGCAAGTAGGTGACACCACAGAAGTATACCACTATGCTTGGCACAATGAAAGCATTTTATTCCTTTTTGCAGGGCCTGGTGGCACACACCTATAGTCCCAGCTACTGGGAGGATGTGGCAGGAGGAACTCTGATTAAAAAAAGGGAAAGAAAAATTTATCCTTCTTGCTCTCATATATGTAGATGATGGTAAATATGTCCATCTTTTCTAGAAACTTGGGTTAGCATTAGCATTTTTGAACTGCATGACAAAACAGTTCCATGTGTGTTTGAGGTTTTCTACATCTTCCCCCAATGCAGGGTTGTCAGATGGTCTCTGTGCCTTCGACCCCACCCTGTCCGCATCCGCCCCATGCACCCACCACCCTGTTTAAGGAAAGAAACCTCACTCCCGAGTCTGTAAGACCCTGCTGGTTCTCTCCCACTTCCACTGTCCTGGATTCTGGGTTACCATCCCTTTGTTTGCTTTTTAAAAACAGTTTTGCTTACCACATATATTTACAACCCCAAATAACATAGGGTTTAGTTGTAGGGGCTTGGGGTTTTATGGTGCCCCTGTGACTGTGCTTGATGTGACCTCGGGACAACTCCTTTGGGTGTATATTTGGCAGGGGGCCTGCTGGGTCATAGATGCTGCATCCTCGCCTCTCTAAATAACACCACCATTATTGGTGACTGTGCCCATTCACCCTATATTTCATTACCCTCCAAAGAAACACCTTACCTCTCAGCCATCACCTCCATATCTTTCATGCCCCAGCCCTAGGCAATCACTAATCTACTCTGTGACCCTAGCATTTGCCTATTCTGAACAGTTCATAGAAATGGAATCATATGATATATGGTCCTTTGTGACTAGTTATCATTCACGTAGCATAATGTTGTAAGGATTGTCCACATTGTACCATGCAATAGTTCTCTATTCTTTATTCCTTTTAATGGCTGAATAATATTCCAAGGTATGTATGTATGTACATTTATCCAGTCATCAGTTGATGGACATGGGGGCTGTTTCTGCCTCTTGGCTATTACTAATAATACTGCTATCAATACTCATGTATTAGTTCCTGTTTGCTCACATCTTTTCCCTTCTCTTGTGTGTGGATCTGGGAGTGAAATTAATTGATAGGTCATATGGTAAGTCTCTATTTAACCCTCTGAGGAACTGCCAGACTTGTCATTTCTCACCCTCATCAGCAGTATGTGAAGGTTTCAGTTTTTCTACATCCTTACCAGTACCTGTTATTGTGGCCACGCTGGCAGGTGTGAAATGCTATCCTGCTTTGCTTTTATCTGTTCAGATGATCCTCAGTCCATCTGAAAAACTGAGTTCTTCCTTATTGCATCATGTGAGTTCTCCTATCAAGTACAAGTCCCTTGTCATATATGTGATTTGTAAATATTTTCTTTCATTTTGTGAGTTATTTTATTTTCTTTGTTTTTGTTTCTTTTTTTGAGACAGGGTCTGGCTATGTAGTTCAGACTGGCCTTGAACTCACTATGTAGCCCAGGCTGGCCTTGAACTTGCAGTGATCCTCCTATCTCAGCCTCCCAAATGCTTGGATTACAGGTGTGGACTGCCATGCCAATTCTTTTTTCAAGGCAGGCAGCGGAACCACTGAGCTAAATCCCTGGCCCTCATGACAATTCTTGATAATGTCCTTTGAAGCAAAGACTTTTAAAATTTTGACGATATACAGTTTGTTTGTTTTTTTTCTTTTGTTGCTCATGATTTTGATATCTAATTTGATTTCTAAATTTTAGATAGTTTTTTGCTTAATTTCTGGAAACTAATGTTTTAGTTCTGTTTTGCAAATATTTTCACCTAGTGTGTTACTTATCTCTTTATAATATATTAATTTAAAAGGTAAATACTACTCAGACTACATTTAAATAAATACTTAACAGGTATCTTTTTCAGAAAATGATTTTTTTTTAATGTCAAGACTTCTAGAAAATCCAGGATATTACAATAAAAATAGATGATTTCTTAAAAAAAAACTGTTTTGTAAATAAGAAATTTCAAACACACACACACACACACACACACACTCAGACACACAAATGAAGTAGTTTAACAAATTTCTTGTTCCCATTGTCTAGCTTTGGTAGTTACTGAGATAGGGCTTGCTATATTGGCCAGCTGAGGCTTACCCTTGCAATCTTCCTGCCTAGCCTCTGGAGCAGCTGGGATCCCGGGTGTGAGACACCACACCTGGCTACCAGGTAGCATTTCTACCTCATTTCTCTCATATATATA